CTCTCTCTCTCTCTCTCTCTCTCTCTCTCTCTCTCTCTCTCTCTCTCTTTCTATTCTTTTTCAATCTTTCTGTCCTTCATACATAAACGTACATAAACACACGCGCGCACAAGCACATACACATAAGAATGGGAGGCGGGGGAGAGAAAAGGAGAGGTAGAAGCAAGGACACACACAAAGATGAACGTGGTCATCCTTTGGCACGCACCATTGTCTTGCCGGTCCAATCAAACTCGCCGTCGTTGACGAAGCCTCGTCTCTCGTAGAGATCAAGGAAGATCTTCCTCAGGTACTCGTAATCAGGCGTCTCAAAAAAGTCCAACCTGCGTACGTATCTAAGATACGTGGCCATCTCCTCGGGATGTCCATCGCAAAGGACCTCGATCGGTGTTGCTCTTTTCGTATCCCCGATTTTCTGATATCGTTCCTTTAACGTTTCAGCTCTCAGTCCTTGCCAAGGTAAACTACCACGTAGAAAGTACATAAACATGTGTCCTAACGCCTCCAGATCGTCTCTTCTACTTTGCTCTGTATACATATAAAAAAAAAAAAAGAAAAGACATTGTTTTATTTACTTAATATTAAATTCGTACATAACGTATAAAACATTTCTTTTTTCCAAAGCTATTTGCAGAACTGATTTGTATTTGCGTTTGATAAAATTGCATATATAACAATTAATTATTATTAATATAAATGAATATTTAGAAAAATCAAAGGACGACTTATTCTATTTACTTTTTTAATATACCTTTAATGCAATAAGAAAATAAAGAATAAATTATGAAAGATATATCGTTTTATGAAACACATTAGCTTGTCCATCGACAATGTGTCAAGGACTATATACTAAGCGTATATTTTATGCGAAAGAAATGTCAGAGTATATTTCTTTGACTCGGCTTTTACCTTTTCCAAGGTGGGTGTTGATACTCATATAACGCGCCGTTCCAGTAAGACTCTTGTGTTCCCGGTAAGGTATGTGTTTATTCGTTTCCAGATCTATGTACTCTTTGGCCAATCCGAAATCGATTATGTGAATGATTTTCTCTCGTTTAGTTGTACATCGTCCTATCAAGAAATTCTCTGGCTTGATATCACGATAAATCAAATGTCGACTGTGGACGTACTCTATCCTATGGAGCTGAATCAAAATAAATCATAAATTATTTCTAGTATTTTTCTGACCTATATATTAATATAATATTTGTTAAATAAATAAAATACATATTGTGTAATATAAATATAATAAGAATAAACATAATATGTTATGAGCGATATATTGTTTATTTGTGTCTTTCTTTTACTCTCCCTATTACGGTTTTTATAATTTCGAACCCATTGTGACCACAGTCGCACGCCAATTTTCAGACCCCCCACTTCATCGGCCAATAACTTTTGGAGTTTTCAATTTTTTCATTTTTTTGCATACTAAAAATATTGTTTGCCTTGTTTTTACGGCACTTCAAAAAGTACCTAAAATTCATGCCTCTAGATTAGAATACCCCCTTAATTAATAGCGACTAGATATCAAATAAAAATTGATATTATTAAAATTATTCAACGGAACAATGTGAGTTAAAGCAGGGAAAGAATAATGTAACGTAAACACCAAGTCTAAAAGTATACTAATTGTAAACGCGAAAGTGTTAACAAAACAATCTCGAGTAATCTTGTTTTAAATAAAAACAAATATTGCCAGGAAAAAGACATCCCCGCTGAGTAACTCCGTAAGCTTCGATATTCATCTACAAAGAATAATCTATAAAATAATCCCTTAATTTACGGAGGATAATTGATTTCACGAAACCAATGCATAAATATAAAACACGAAAAACCGTTTAAAATAAGAACTTGCTCCACATTCTCAAATTGATGTTTAGCTCTTACTTAGATATATTAACAAAAATATATATAAACAAAGAAATATTAATTTTACGCAAATTACAAAATAAAATGCACCGAATTTGTTTTTCCGGTGCATTGCGGTGCAATCGCGGTGACACCGAAGGATGCGCTACATCAAAATGATGAAGGAAAAAAAAGAAGGGAAAAAAAGAGAATAAATTGATAAAAGAATTATTAATCATTATTGAAATTTGGTATAAGTACAAAATACGTTTATACTTACGAGTTGTGTGGCAATGTTAAGAACGGTCTTGAGGGTAAACCTTCTCCCACAGAGGTCAAAGAGATCTTCCAGGCTCGGTCCAAGGAGTTCCATTACCAGAGCGTTGTACTTCCCACATGGACCAAAGTAATACACCTCCGGTATACCCTCTGCACGAACATTGTTAACTATACATACGAATAAAGTAAAACGTCCTTGAACCCCACCCCTTCCCCCAATGATACGCGTTTGTTATTTTTGTTCAAGACAAAATCTCGGCTAGTCGAATTAAAATGTTAGAATGTTTCTGATTCAATCCACCATTCTATTCCATTCGACTCGCACAAAATATTATTAAAATAACAAATCTAATTATATATAT